GAATGGCTCAAGTATTTAAGTGTCTGACAGCCACAGGAGATCCCAACAGAATTTCAAGTTCCTGATTTCTGCCTAGTCCAATACCAGCCACTGTAGCCATTTGGGGAGAAAAGCAACAAACAGATGTATCTCTGTCTAGCCCTCTCTTCTACAACTCTGCTTTTCCAATTAATAAAACCTAAAAAAAAAAAAAGACAAGAAAATGTAAAGAGACCATTGTCCAGCAGGCATGGATTATACATGATTCAAGAAAAAGATGCTCAACTTCATAGAAAATAAAATTTTAAATAGTTATAAAATAATTAAAACTACAGTAGCATATAATTACTGGGGCTGGCGCCATGGCATGTACGCTAAGCCTCTATCTGTAGTGTCAGCATTCCATACAGGTGTCAGTTCAAATCCTGGCTGCTTCACTTCTGATCCAGTTCCCTGCTGTGCTATGAATAGCAGAAGAGGACCAAGTTCTTGGAAAACCTAGAGCAAGTTCCTGGTTCCTAGCTTCAGATTGGTTCAGCTCCAATCATCATAGTCATTTGGGGAGTGAACCAGCACATAGAGGATCTCTGATTCCCTTCTTTCTTTAAATCAGCCTTTCAAATAAAAATAAATCTAAGGGCCCAGAGCCGTGGCTGAGCAGCTAAAGTCCTCACCTTGGATGTGCCAGGTTCCCATATGAGCGCCGGATGTGGTCCTGGCGATCCTACTTCCCATCCAGCTCCCTGCTTGTGGCCTGGGAAAGCAGTTGAAGACGGCCCAAAGGTTTGGGACCCTGCACCCGTGTGGGAGACTTGGAAAAGGTTCTGGGCTCCTGGATTCAGATGGGCACAGCACTGGCTGTTGCAGTAACTTGGGGAGTGAATCATCGCATGGAAGATCTTCCCCTCTCCTCTATCATCGCATGGAAGATCTTCCCCTCTCCTCTGTCTCTCCTCCTCTCTGTATATCTAACTTTGCAATTAAAAACAAATCTTTTTTTTTTTAAAGATTTATTTTATTTTTATTGGAAAGGCAGATATACAGAGAGAAGAGACAGAGAGGAAGATCTTCCATCCGATGATTCACTCCCCAAGTGACCACAACGGCTGATACTATGCCGATCCAAAGCCAGGAGCCTCTTCTGGGTCTCCCACGCGGGTACAGGGTCCCAAGGCTTTGGGCCGTCCTCGACTGCTTTCCCAGGCCACAGGCAGGGAGCTGGATGGGAAGAGGGGCCGCCAGGATTAGAACTGGCGCCATATGGGATCCCGGGCGTGCAAGGCAAGGACCTTAACCACTGTGCCACCACGCCAGGCCCAAAATAAATCTTTTTAAAAAAAATCTTAAAGAAATGATTTAGAAAAATTATAACTCCTATTAATTTGGTGGACAATAGGGTTTTTAAAAAATATTTTATTTATTTGAAAAGCAGAGTTACACAAAGACACAGATATATTCCACCTGCTTGCTCACTCCATAAATGGGCATAACTGCTGTGGCTGCACCAAGCCAAAGCCAGAATTCCAGCCAGCTCCTATGCAGAGGGCAGGATTTGGGCCATCTTCTACTGTCTACCCAGATGCAGTATTAGCAGAGAGCCAGAACAAAAGTAGAGCAGGATTTTGAACCAGCAATTAAAGAGGGTGCTCCCATTACAGGCAATGGTTTAAAACCTATTGATCCAAAACATGAGCCTCAGCAGATCACATATTTTTTAAAATAAATTTCCACTGTGCTTGCTTCGGCAACACATATACTAAAAATAAATCTTTACTAACATATGAAATTTTTTCTAAACTTTTCCCCCAGATTTAATTAGTAATCTATGTGCAAATGATTTTTGTAGATATCATACCTAGAAAACTCACAGATTAAAATCATATATTTGACTTTCCCACAGTACTGTTGCTACTCCATCGGTCTACGTATCCTTGTGCCAACACTACGTTACCATAATTTATTTCTATTTATTGGAAAGGGAGATTTCTAAAGAGGAGAAATAGACAGGGGCCCTTCCATCCAATGATTCACTCCCCACATAGTTGCAAAGGCTGGAAATGAGCTGGTCTAAACCTAGGAGCTACAGGCTTCTTTCAGGTTTCCCACATAGATACAAGGTTGTAGGAGGACATTACGACCCTAGAGGGTCAGCGAGCACAGGATTACAGTTGATTGGATAATATTTGCATGAGAACAACCGAATGGCTACCTTCTGTATACCTGATCGGATATCATTTGTGTAAGAACAGTTGAATGGATATATGTGTGTGAGAACGCTTGGTGGAATATACAAGACAAAAGGAGTTCCAAACAAAAGCATAGAAACTGTTACTGGGTTTTGTTGATGAGCTCAATACTTCCTCCCTTATCCCAATGACCCTCAGTGTATAAAGTCTGATGCCACTAATAAACTTTGGCTTTGACCATCAGTCAGGCCTCACGCATGTTATTATCAGCTCCGCGCACCAAGTCCATCACTGCTGGAGGGCGACACAAGGTCTTAAGCACTTAGGCCATCCTCCATTGCTTTCCCAGGCCATAAGCAAAGAACCTGATGGGAACTGGAGCAGCTGGGACACAAACTTGCACCAATATGGGAAGCTGGTACTTACAGATGGAGGATTAGTCAGTTGAGCCAATGTACTGGCCTGTGTCTTTCTTCTTGGCACTGTATTTGAATTTCACTAAAGCTGGGCATCTTCTGATGCTTACTGGCTGTTCCTATTCCCTCTCACAAAAACTGGTTGCTCAGGTCTTCTGGAGGTCACCTTTTTTATGTGGACCAGTACTAGCTTTCTTTGCATTAGGAAAGTTGCCCTTTATCAACTGTCATTTGCACAATATTTTTAAAAGATGCTTACATTGTATCTCATTTCTAATATATTTGAATGTACCTATTCTTTTTTAATTCTCAATTTTGGTTTCATACTTATAAGTTTCTCCATGCCAAAATAGTATTACAATGTTGACAGTAAGCATATCAGAAAACTACCTCCTGTATCACTGATGTGTACAATGTCTGACATTTTTATAATTTGCAAATAATTGTAGAAAAATCTCGGGCCCCACGTGATGGCTCACTGGCTGGCTATATCCTTGCCTTGCAAGTGCAAGGATCCCATAAGGATGGCGGTTCCTGTTCCAGGTGTCCCATTTCCCATCTAGCTCCCCGCTTGTAGCCTGGGAAAGCAGTAGAGGATGGCCGAGAGAAGAACAGGAAGAGGCTCTGGCTGCTGGCTTCACATCAGTTCAGCTCCTGCTGTTGCAGCCACCAAGGGAGTAAACCAGTGGACAGAGATCTTTCTCTGTGTCTCTGTACTTTCCATCTTGCTCCCTCCTAAAAGATCTGGGAAAGCAGGGAAAAATGGGGCTCCTGCACCCACGAGCTGAAGTGCCTGGCTTTGGCTTGGTCTAGTTCAGCATTTGTGGCCATCAGAGGAATGAACCAGCAGATGGAAGTGCTTTCTCCTCTATCTCTTCCAATCTCTGTAACTCTGCCTTTCCAATAAATCTTGAAACATAAAAGATATGCAAATATTTTAGGCAAGTGTGCTCTAACAAATTGCCAATGATTTCCTCTGAAATATGAATAAGATCATGTGATTTAATAAAGCGAACAGCACTCATGATGTGGTTGTTTTTGAGGTTTAAAACGGCAATCTGATTTGTCCTTTCTTAGAAAGAGGAATGGACAGTATCTTAAACACAAAATTTGCTTTGACACACACACAAAAGTAAATCAATGTATCAAAGGGAATTGGAATAGAGGGAGGTTTTCCTCTAAAACCGGTAACAACAGAAATGCACATGATCTAAGTGAAGCTTCTTTAAGTATTTAAGGGGAAAAAAACATTTTAATTGCTAGAATCGGGGCCAAGCAGCTGGTTTAAGTAGAAGACAGCAAGTCAGCTGCTAATTCGGGGGTGGGGGTGGAATTGAAAGGGTGGAGAAAGTGGGCAATCTTCCCAATAAAACAAATGTCATGGAATACTATACTTATATAAGAACATACACATCTGTTAAATATCAATTTACACTATTGCAGCCAATTTGCACATCAAGAGGAAGTACGTCAGATCTAAAACACAAAGCACATTCTACACTTTGCTTCAGGTCACATTCAGCAAGGATGACTACGCGAGTATGGGAATTGTTCACCCATTCCAAGCAAGGACTGAATAACAAATCTAGTGTTCACATCCAAACGTGGGGGGTGGAGGGGAGGAAATGGGAGGCTGCGACTCCTTAAAGTTCTCCTCCCTCTCAAAACACTGCAGAAACTGCCCACGTCTAAAGGCACTTACCCTGGAAACTTCTCAGACAGCGATTTGGGAGACTTTTTGTTCACATTTTTTGAGGGGGAGTGATTTAGGAATGTGGGAAGCCTGTAACTTTCAAATATGGGGATCTAGTTTAAATCCAAGTTCGTTTTTCTCCTTCCCTTTCAAAACAGTGAACATTCCCATGAGAAAAGCTCCAAGTATAAAATTTTTTAAATGCAAATTAAGCACAGAGGCGTCCAATAATCCCTAACTCCATCACGACTAGGAAGAGGAGAAACGAAGGGGAAAAAACACTTAGGAAAGAAAGCAGGCGAGATGCAAAAAGTACAAAAAGCTGTCAGGAGGAACACAGCATAAAGCCCAACTGATGCTGACACTATCTGCAAAGAGAGGGTGGAAAATATTCCTTAGATGCGGGCTGGGGGGTGGAGAGCACGGGGCGCAGCAGAAAGTCATCGCAAATGCCTGCTCTCAAGGGGAGGGAGTAAAAACAAGGGCGCCAGCAAAAAGGGGGGGCTAGACTCCCGAGTTAGAAATGTCACAGATCCAAAGCTCAGAAGCCAGAGGCTGCGGGGGTTAGGATGTTTCTACACCGACAAGCGGACCCCGAGGCCGACGTCCGGAAAAGCGCTCCTGCTAGGCGGGGTGAGGGGTTAACTGCAGGGGTTCGCAGACGTGGAGGGGGTGCGGCCCCAGGGGTTGCGACAGGAGAGCAGGGAGCAGGGTCTCGGTCCGTACCTTGTAGTAAACATCGAACTGGATGTTCTCGGGCAAGGAGCGGATGTCTCGGCGGGAACGGATGTAGTTGTCCACGACAGCGGAGATGGCGGTGTTATAGAGAGTCTCTGGGATCCACTCTAGTTCCACGGCCGCCATCTTCCTTCCCTCCTCCTCCGCCTCCTCCTCCTCCTCCCGAAGGCCCCCGCCTCCCTCCGTAGCGAACTCTTCTGCGGCCCCGGAGGATTCCGAGGGTGGCGGCAGCCACGAGGGCACACGGCCGAAGGGCACAGCCGCCCGGGCTCCTCCAGGAGCCGGCCTGGGCACAGTGACAGCGGACGGAGGCCGGGCTAAAGCACTGGAAGGGCAGCAGCAGACGGGAGGGCCGGAGCCTCACATTCCGGGTTTAAGAGGAACCCGAGTTCCGTCCCAGCGCCGATCACTGCAGGGGCGGGACTGCGTGTGCGGCGTCATGACGTCAGCGGACGCCGACGCGCCGGAGGGAAGGAATGCGGCAGGCGGAAAAACTTGGATGAGGAGCGTGATCCCTCCCACGGGGGCTGCACTTTCTGCGGGATCCGGGAGTAGTTGGGTTTGGCGGATGAACTTTTTACACGGGGACAAATCGTGACAGGATTTTTAGCCAGACCTGGAGCCATTCGGACGCTTTGTTCCCTGCAGCAGGTCCCGCGTCGAGAGTTCTTACACCTGAGCTGAATGGGCCTCATGGCAGAAGTTCGGATCCTCTCCGTTACGCTGCCAGTTATGGAATTTAAATTACTGCACAAGTCCTTGATCCAATTCTTAGCACAAATTTTGAATTCGCGGTCTAGGAGCTAGAGCTCTGTTCTTTAGTCATTTGCGACCTTTGACCTTTTTATCCCGTTCCTTTAACCAACTGAAATTTACACAAATTAAAAAAAAAAAAAGAATAACCCTGTACTGAAAGAATTGCATAGGAATGTTAGCTGAATTGTGGGATTACAAATAATGATGAGAAAAGAATTAAATGAGGACTGTGACAGAACTTAATGGTAACAGAAAATTTCAAACTTTATTCCAGAATTGTAGCTCTGGTTTGAAACTGCTTATTTCAGTTCCTTTCCTTGCTAAATGGCTGCAATACATGCAATTTAACTTTCTAAACCTGTAATTTGAGGGATTTAATGCAGCTTATTTCTGTTCCAAGAATTTAATAATGAAGTTCTGGATGTAACTTTATTTTTTTTAAAAAAGATTTATTTATTTATTTTTGCTGGAAAGGCAGATATACAGAGAGGAGGAGAGACAGAGGAAGATCTTCCATCCGATGATTCACTCCTCAAGTGGCCACAATGGCCAGAGCTGCCCAGATCCAAAGCCAGGAGCCTGGAACTTCCTCTGGGTCTCCCATGTGGGTGCAGGGTCCCAAGGCTTTGGGTTGTCCTCGACTGCTTTCCCAGGCCACAAGCAGGGAACTGGTTGGAAACCATATCTGCCAGGATTAGAATTGATGCCCATATGCGATCCTGACGCATTCAAGGTAAGGACTTTGGTTGCTAAGCCATGGCACTGGGCCCGGATTGCCTCTACTCTAAGGTTTATCTAGTTACTCTAGAGCACCTATTTTTTTTTTTTTTTGTAAGATTTATTTATTTTTACAGGAAAGGCAGATATGCAGAGAGAAGATAGAGCAAGATCTTCCATTTGCTGGTTCATTCCCCAAGCAGCTATAACAGTCAGAGCTGAGCTGATCTGAAGCCAGGAACCAGGAACTTCTTCCAGGTATCCCAGGGTCCCAAGGCCTTGGACCATCCTTGACTGCTTTCCCTGACCACAGGCAGGGAGCTGGATGGGAAGTGGAACAGCCAGGACATAGGACTAACCAGCACCCACATAAGATCTGGGCACATGCAAGGCAAGGATTTAGCCACTGAGTCATGACACTACGCCCAGAATATGTATTTCCATGATTAGAGACAGATTATGAAGAGTTATCTGTGATAATAATCATTTTAAACCTCGTCTTTTTTTTAAAGATTTATTTTATTTTTGTTGCAAAGTCAGATATAGAGAGGAGAGACAGGAAATCTTCTGTCTGATGACTCACTCCCTAAGTGACTGCAATGGCCATAGCTGCACTGATCTGAAGCCAGGAGCCAGGAACCTCCTCCAGGTCTTCCACGTGGGTGCAGAGTCCCAAAGCTTTGGGCCGTCCTCGACTGCTTTCCCAGGCTACAAGCAGGGAGCTGGATGGAAGGGATTAGAACTGGTACCCATATGAGATCTTGGCGCTTTCAAGGCAAGGAATTTAGCTGCTAGGCCATCGTGCCAGGCCAAACCTCGTCTTGAAGATTAGGGTATTACATGAAGGAAAGTAAAAGGAACACCAAATATGTTGGTCAGAAAGAGGATAATCTATGACCAGCCAAAATGGCCAGAACATTTAGAATTATGCATTCCCGGCTCCATAAGAGTCAAGTACAAGAAAAAACCTGCTAAACTGTCAGGATCATGGCTACCTATATATGTTGGTGGACAGAGGCCCTTTGTGCTGAAGTTAACTTAGCAGTATACCAGGTCGTCTTTAAATCTGTCTTCCAATAGCCTCAATTTATTGGGTGGTCTTGAAACTCTGGACAGGTTATGACTGCCCAGTGTTTTAACTTCTAAATTGTAGGGCTCTTTTGCTTGTTATGAGAGATGGGATCTAAATACCTTTCCTTTGAATAGAGTGGATTGTGACTGCATTGACCAATGAAGTGCCTAGAAATAATGCTATGTGACTTCAGAGGCTACATCAGACAAGGCCGTGCAGAATTCATCATATTCTCTGGAAAACTCCCCCTTGGATCCCTACCCCATGATGTCATCGTGCCATGAGAAAGTCTGAGTTACATAGAAAGCTACATGTAAGAACGTGTTCTCAACAGTCCCAGAGTGTAGCTTTCGTGTCTTATCTAATTTTTTTTTTTATTTCTGAGACAGAAAGGAAGAGTGAGACAGAAAGCAAGTGCACTCCTTTAATTGATTTGTTTCCCAAATTCCATAAACAGCTGAGACTGAAGCCAGGAGCCAGCAACAATCCAGGTCTCCTATACGAGTGGTAGGAGCTCAGATCAGTGTCCGTACCAGCAGGAAGCTAGAAGCAGGCACCAGAGCCTGTGGTGAACTAGACATTCTGTTAAGGGATGCAGCCATCGTAACTGCTGTTTAACTGCTAGGTTAAACTCCTGCATCTTTTCCCCTCTAAATATTTATCAATTGGAGAGAAGGAAATCTTTGAGTGATTCTAGACCAGGTACCAGATGTTTGAGTAAAAAAAAAACTCCAAGTAATTCAGACACTTGAGTCACCCTGTTTTTCTAGATAAAGGCACAAGCATCACGGGGCTGATGCAGGCAGACCTGCTATGCTCTGTTCTGTCTGATGACTCACTCCCCAAGTGACTGCAATGGCCATAGCTGCACTGATCCAAAGCCAGGAACCAGGAACCTCCTCCAGGTCTCCCATGCAGGTGCAGGGTCCCAATGCTCTGGGCCTTCCTCAACTGCTTTCCCAGGCTACAAGCAGGGAGCTGGATGGAAGGGATTAGAACTGGCGCCCATATAAGATCCTCGCGCTTTCGAGGCGAGGACTTTAACTGCTAGGCCACGCACCGAGCCCTGAACCCTCTGAATTTAAGAGTCTTTTCTGTTGTACAACATTGAACTTCTAAAATCACCATTAACTAGGATGGGTATGTGGCACAGCTGTTAATGCCTCTTAGGATGCTCACATCTCGTATCAGAGCGCCTGGATTCAAGTTCTGCTTATTCCACTTCTGATCCAGCTTCCTGCTGATGAGTACATGGAGGGGCAACAGTGATGATTTAAGTACCTGAGTCCCTGACACCCACGTTGGAGGCCTGATTTGATTTATAAATTCCTGTCTTGAGCCTGGCACAACCCTGCTCGCTGCAGTCCATTTGAGGTGTCAATCAGAGGATAAACAACATTTTTGTCTCTGCCTTTAAAATAAAGTAAGCAAAAATTTTTTGTGAGTATATTTTTTAAAGAATTATTTAGTTTTATTGTCAAATCAGATTTACATAGAGAAGGAGATACAGAAAGATCTTCCATCCACAGGTTCACTCCCCAGGCAGTCTTCTGGATCTTCCACGGAAATGCAGAGTCCCAAGGATTTGGGACATCCTCTACTGCTTTCCCAGGCTACAAGCAGGGAGCTGGATGGGAGGTAGAGCAGCCAGGGCATGAACTGATACTTATATGGGATCCTCAAATGTGCAAGGCAAGAATTTAGCCACTGAGCTATGGTGCCAGGCCCATAAGTAAAATTTTTCAAAATCACTACCAACAGCTATTGATGTTAAATTTTTCAACTTGCTACAATACTGCCTCAAGGAAACAAAAGTATCTCTGTTGATAGATGGTTTGCACTCCCTCAAAATTTATCAGTCTCTGAACTGTTCAGTTGCTCTGAGCTAAGCCTCCCACCTGTGGCTGTAGCATTCTGTGGGCAGTTTCACCCTGACTGTTTAAAAGTGGACATTGTATCCCTTTATCTCCCCCTTTACCCCAGATACAGGGGAAAAAAAATGTGAAAACAATGGTCTTTCCCACTTTCCTGTAGCCCTTGACCCTTTGTGCCTAATCAACTATGTAAAGATTATCAAAATAAAATAATAATTTTAAAACAGTGGACATTGTACAGACCTGCAAACTAAACCCCAGCCAGAGAAAGCAAGCAAGGTGGGTGGAAGCAGCTCAGGGGTTTCACTATGTATGGAGCTTTTCTTTTCTTGAAGATTCTTTTTCCTTGTTTGTTGTGGTTTTCTGACTTGTTTCTCAACTAGTTAATTTCTGTGATTTCCTTGCTAACTTGCATCTTCAAAGACAGCCAGGTTTGAGAGTGTAGAATCATGTTCTTTTAAAAGAGCGAACACTGCAATGATCATTTTGTGTGTACTGATGCATGAGGAAATACAGAAAATTGTGAGTTTCTTTTTGTCTTCAGAATATGAAAAAATTACCAGAATTCACTGGAAATCATCTTTTTAAAATATCTATTTAATTATTTGTTCATTTTTATTGGAAAAGCAGATTTACAGAGAGAAGGAAAGACAGAAAGATCCTTCATCTGCTGGTTTACTTCCCAAATAGCTGCAATGACCAGATCTGAGTCAATCCAAAGCCAGGAGCCAGGACCTTCTTCTGGGTCTCCCATGTGGGTGTAGGATCTCAAGGCTTTAGGCCATCCTCCATTGTTTTCCCAGACCACAAGCAGGGATCTGGTAGGAAATCCAGCAGCCAGAACACAAACTGGTACCTAGGTGGGAAATCCAGCAGTCAGAACACAAACTGGTACCTATATGGGATACTGGTGCTTGGAGGCAGAGGATTAGCTAGTTGAGCCATCAGGTCAATCCTCTGCCCCGTCCCCCATCTTTTTCATG